CATGGGATTCATAGCAGCAACATTCTGACGTTCTCTATGGGGGTTCGATGAAAAAACACATAAGCTGCTATGGAACTGCGAGGTGTTTTTGGTCAGTTAAAGAGGCTGGTTTCTAATAAAAAAGGAAAGCTAAGGAAAAAGGATTTAAAACCATGAAACTTAACAAAAAACCATTTAATAATTTTATTAAAAGGTTAGGACAAACTCAACATCAAACCAACCCAATAAAACTAGCCCAAGCAATGAGTTTCCGAATTTACCTTGACGGCAACACCTCCCCCTGTTTGTTTAGTCCATTTATTTTTCCTTTTCTCTCTGCTATTTTCTCGTCGACGATGAGGACGCCACATTCGTGATCCACAAGGAAGTCAAGGACGAGGAAGAGTTTGAGAAGTTCGGGACGATCCCGACTAGTCTTCTATTGATAACCAGGAGTTCCAGCTGGTTTTGACCATCAACGAAGCTTCTGGTCAGAGCTGGCCCTGAGCGTAGCCGGAGTAGGCGCCCGCCGAGGGCCCCCACTTTAGAAGGGCCCCCAATTTTTAGGCGGAACTGGGAAGGTCTGGACAAAGATAGGCGGGAGCTATGCGGACTTATATGTAAATGCCGGAATCTGGAAATCTTTTGTTGCAGGGTCGGCCTTGCGCGAGGAAGAAGACAACCCTATTCCTAACATCATTTTAATTGCACGATTTTACTTAAGATGGTCCAACTATCTTTTTTTTTATATATATAGTTGCACGTCTTCTCCCTTTTAAATAGTCCACACCATCTTATTTTTACTTTTTTGCTTCTCTCTTAAATATCACATTTATGTTTATTTTTATGAGGTTTTATTACCCTATTTTAAGATCACATCAGTTATATCTTTATTATGTACCTAGAAGATTAAAACTCTCACCTTTTTGAAAATGACATATTTAATCTTTAAATTAATTAGTTTATATAATATACATATATATATAATAAATTATTCAAATTTGCCTCGTCCACGATTCGTATACGAAAATTACTATCCTCTTCACTCTAGTATTTTTCCTAGTTGTAAGATGTTGTCTCTGTAATCCAACTATTCATTCATTTATTAAATCTAATAAGTAATATTGTAACAATAGAAAAATGATTGGAATTTGACGTACTGGGTAAGGACTTTTCTTTCAGTTTGAATTGGTTGAAAAATTAAATTATGTAAACTTAATAAGTGCATTTGCATCTAAAACGCGAGACAAGTAATATTTGAGTAATGTTTGTATATCTTTTTTTTTTTTTTGATATTAATTTTTAATTATATTTGATGTAGAAATAGACTTTTCATGTATTTAGTGAATTTTTTTTTTTACACGTCAATGTATAAAGGGTCGGAAATTAGAGAACTCTAGGGCTCCACTTCGAAGGCTCGCCTAAGGCCCCCAAATTCTCAGAGCTGGCCCTGCTCCTGGTATGGGTACTTTGTCAATGCGCTAGTACCTGATATGAATAATCAAAACTTATTTTCTCGATGGACTTTGGATTCTTTGCTTTGTTTGCTTCATTCACTAGCTATTGAGATTCACAATAATATATTGCTTTTATGTGCAAGTCTTAATTTTGGTGATTTAATTCTTTGTTTTTATTAAGATTTAAGATCGAATTTTTAGTTGCGTATGTGAATCGAATTAAGAAATTTAAGAATTTGTATCCTATTCTCCTTTTTCTTTCATTTTTTGTTATTTTATTTAACATTTTTTTCTCAACTTTATCACTTGATTTGTAGGAATATCTGGTGTTAGGTCTCAATCCTTCAATTTAATTTTTTTTAATCTTGACTCTTAGTGGAAGCTATTCGGAATTATTAATATATTTGTGTTAGTTCTTGCAGAACTTAGCCCTGTAATGCTCTAACTTATGTGGCTTTTCAATTTTGTTTATACAAAATTATGGCTGTTGTTACTGTAGCTGCTCCTGATGTGGTTGAACCAACGTAGCCTCACTATGACATGAAGCTGTTCATCCTCTGTAGCTTTGATGATGTTCAAGTTTCTGGATTTTTATTGTTTAATTTAGGCTAAATAGCCAAAATGATCCTTGAGATTTGCATAACACATCACTTTGGTGCCTAACATTTCAAATCGATTAAAGTGATCCCTGAGATTGTCCACCATCCATCATTTTGGTCATTCCGTTAAAAACTCCGTTAAAGTGTCCCGGAGCTCTTGGTCGGAAGTTTGGGCAATTTTCAAAGTTTTATAACTCAATCGTTTTTTAACAGAATTCGACTCATAATATATCAAAATGAAGATAGTAAAGTGTAGAATAATATTATACCTATTTGGAAGCCCAATGGCTGCCATAAATAGCCGGAAAATAGCCTCAAAGTTGACTGGTCCGAGGGAAAACTGGAAAACTTGTCGGAAACTGGGTAAAATTTAAACGTTCATAACTTCTTCAATACTCAGCGAAATCAAGTGATTCAAAAACTAAAATCATACTTCTCAACGAGACAAAGAGAATGGTACCTTTTTAGATGGCTAAATAGCCGTGGTTTGGCCGAAAAAGGGCTCGAAAATGGCTAACTTGAGATCAAAACAGCCACTTTTGAGTCGTTTTCCGGCCAAATAACAGTGATTTAGCCATCAAAAAATGTACCATTATCTTTGTCTCGTTGAGAGTATGATTTTAGTTTTAGAATCACTTGATTTCATTGAGTATTGAAGAAGTTATGAACGTTTAAAGTTTACCTAATTTCTGGCGAGTTTTCCAGTTTTCCCTCAGACCATTCAACTTTGAGGCTATTTTCCGGCTATCTTCGGCAGCCATTGGGCTTCCAAATAGATATAATCTTATTCTACACTTTCCTATCTTCAGTTTGATATATTATGGGTCAAATTTGGTTCAAAAATGATTGAGTTACGAAGCTTTGAAAATTGCCCAAATTTCCGGCCAAAATCTCCGGGACACTTAACGGAGTTTTTAACAGAATGACCAAAATGATGAATGGTAGAGAATCTCAGGGACCACTTTTATCGATTTGAAATGTTAGGGACCAAAGTGATGAGTTATGTAAATCTCAGGGACCATTTTGGCTATTTAGCCTTTAATTTATTTAATTCTACTATTTTTAGTGTGGTTGTTTGGGTCCAAAGCAATGCTTTGGGCCGAAGGTAAAAAATGGGCCGAGACACTTGATCCAGTGGTAGTAAGGGGGATCATGAGCCGGCTGGGTACTGGGGGTTGTCTAAGTTGTTTGTCGATCGAGTCCCTTTGTGAGAAGGATTGATTTGGATAAAGATGAAGGATGAATCCTTAAACCCCCAAGAGTGTTAAAGCTAAAGGCACTAAGGAGCACGGAAAGAACTTGGTTCGTTGTGGAGATGTGTTCAAAGTCCTAATTAAAGTAGGATTGGCCGAGTTTTAGTTAGATCAGGATGAGGAGTCCTAGTCCGGGTAAGGTTCTAACTCGGCCAGAAGTAAGTTCGCTACTATAAATACAGAGGATGAACACACATTCAACCCCCTCCATTCAACACACAAATTGCCATGCACAAACCCTCGCTCTACGAAAAACCTTTCAACAACCTTGAGATTTTTAGTTTCTTTTTCGCCAACACATCTTCAATTTGGATAAACAACACTGTGAAGGCAACCGGCGAACATCTTCAGTTTGGATAAACAGCATTGCCGCTGTAGAATCAGCCGACCACAAAGCACCTTTAGTTTGGATAAACAGCACTGTATCAAGGCCAAATGGTTATCTATCCAAGTCTCGGTCGAGAAGGGTTTTCGAATCCTTATTGGTAGAGGTCGTCTCACGAGCCTTCTCGACAAAGTGAGGTGTTACGAATCACTAGACTTAGCGCATTGAACGCCGAGTGGTTTTATGATTGGATACTCACAAGTTAGGTTTAGAGTTTGGCATTCTGACGGTAGAACCACATTTACGAGTAAGACATACATTTGCTTTGAATATTTGTGTCCATATAGTCTGGTGTCGATTCGGCATGCTTATACTCTTACGAATATAATCACCGTCACCGAATTGGACACCGACGATTTGTGAACTTCGTAGAACTAGCAACCTTGTCTTCAAGCTCTAGAACCCGAAGGCCGAGACGTGTTCCTTCCTCGGCCGCAATCACAAGATCGAGAAGTCAGCAAAGCATCTGACGCAACATCAACATATTTTACTCCTCGGCCGACGAGTTGGCACGCCCGCATACAACCGAAGGACGTAGCAAATATTCAATTGTAGCAAATGTAGCAAATGTTTAAGAAATAATCAATATTCAGTTTTAAAAATATTCAATTGTAGCAAATGTTTTTGGACGGTTATTAAAATTAGGCCTTGTTATTACTGCTTTCTGTGGCATGGCTCATAAGCCAATTGTTCACCATAAATAATGTTGAATCAATAAATCATAGTTGTTATTATTTTGCAAGAAAAATGAAGTACTTTCAGTGGTTACATACAACAATGGTGCTAGAATCTATCTTCTTCCGCTGCGGTTAATTGTTCACATGTAATAATTATAGTTAATGCGTCTATCCCGCCCAAAAATTAAGGGTTCGAATCACCAACAATTTGGAAGACAACGCTGGACTTACAGTCCGCCGTAAGTCTAAGAACCATTATTTCCCTATACGTAACTTGTTAAAATCGAAAGAAAGAAAAAAAAAAACTTATTTTCTTTCTTTGTATATTGGCCATTAATTTTTCTTCCACACCAAGCACCTTCGAGCGACTTCAAAGTTGGTGTACACTAAATAATAATAATAATCTCTACTAATTAATAAAATCCTCTTTGTCAATCAAAAGAGAGTGAAAAGACAAATTAATCTTCTATCACACAAAAAAAATGATGGGCAATAATGTAATTTTACAGGATCAAATTTTACTTTTTTTTTTATTGAAGCATCACCTATAGGTGATGTTAAAATACCTTCAATATTAAAAATAAAATTAAAAAAAAAACTTTTTTTGTTTATTTTGGGGGTTATCAAAAAATCCTTTTCATTTCATTGGATTGAGACCAAGAAACAAACTTGGCATTCTTATTTCACATTTAATTATTCACCAAAACTACTGGAAAGTAGAAAACAAAATAATCCATGAGTGACACAATTATTCAATCCAATGGATTATGATTCAGAAGCACATATGATCATACTGCTAACTGTACACTGATTTTCACTATAATGTATAGACTGCGGAAGTTGGAACTTCAGCCTACCCTCATAAGAGTTTCAAAAACAAGTAAATTCCGGTAATCATCTTTCTAGTGAAAAAGAAGATGTACAAGATATTACCATTTCCTTGTTGCAAATAATATGAGGATGAATCAGAGCCCGAAAAAATCATCGGAGTTACTACAATCTACGGCTGTGTCGTATACTTTCACCGACTATCATCTTTCAAAGGAGGATCCGTTGCATCTTTCAAATGAAGATTGAAAGTTGGAGACGGAGGAAAGTCCCCATCTTGCTCATTCGACTCAATAAGCATCAAGACAACTTCTCGGATCGATGGACGGTCAAAAGGGGACATACTTGTGCATATCAAAGCAATTTTTAAGACATTAAGCATGTGATCAACAAGAAGTCCATCTTGAAGATTTAGCCGACTATCGAGTATCCCAGATGTCAATGAATGGTCTTGAACATAGTGTCTCACCCAGGTGACCAAGTCGCCTCCTTGATCTAGTGATTGGACAGGAGTTCTTCCAGTTAGCAACTCCAACAGAACAACCCCATAGCTATAGATGTCGCATTTTTCTGTAACCTTCATGGTGTATGCGTACTCTGCCATGAAGAAGAGTACATTATCAACCATTCAATAAACAATCGAGTACAGAAATGAGAAGCAAGAACGGACTGAGCAGCTTCAGAGCGAGAAAGAGGTAAGTAAACAAACAAAAATTCAACATGTTCACATTAAACAAAAAATCAGCCAGCCATCAGGGCAAGCACTTCCTAGATAGGTTAACATACATGCATTTATTTACGAATACACAAATTTTGTGCTCGGGTGTTGGTTCCCTTTCAAAATATACATTATTCAGTCATCTTTCCCAAAATTAACTACATCAGCGACACTCTGATTCAAGGTTTCCGATGGCAAAATGAGGGGTTAAGAAGGTGGTTTCCAAAACGTGAAGAATTTAAGATTTAATGCTTGAATTTTTCTTTTCTCTCTTGTTACATATCTCTTCAAAACCAAGTTGTGATTGTTACATTATTTATCAATATGGAGGAAAAGATTTCCTTTTTACATTTTTCGGTTAAAAGATTTAATTTTTACTGTAGAACATGTATAGAATCATTTAAAAGGAAAATTAGAAATACTAGAAATTAGTTTTTTCATCCTTAAAGAATATTTTTTCTTCGGCAGTACTCTCAGAGAACAAGGCGATTCCATAACCATTCAAGTAAATAAAGATTACCAAAAGGAAAGCTTACCAGGAGCAATATATCCATACGACCCTGCAACTGCTGACATTGATTTTGAATAAGGCATATCAATCACTTTGGCCAAACCAAAATCACCAACATGGGCTTCAAAGTTCTCATCTAGCAAAATATTGTTGGACTTTATATCACGGTGGACAATCTTTGGTTTGCAGTCATGATGTAAATAAGCAAGACCTTCAGCAGCTCCCAAAGCAATCATAAAACGCATTGGCCAGTCCAAGCTACAAGAGTCACCATGAAGCAATTCACCCAAGCTACCCTTTGCCATGTACTCGTAAAGAAGTAGATTGGAACCCTGGTGATAGCAGAATCCATATAGCTTCACAATATTCCGATGCCTTATATTTCCTAAGGTCTTAATCTCGGCCTGAAAACTGTTTTCAATGTTATTGCTCTCTCGGTTAGATGACAATTTCTTAACAGCAATAGTCTGTCCAGTTCGCATTACTGCCTTATACACAATTCCACAAGCTCCCCTTCCAATAACATTGCTTTCATGAAAGTTATTTGTCGCCTCAACTAGATCTTGGAACGTAAATCCCTCCTTTGGAGGTAAGTACATATCTGTATCAGGAGATAGAGCATCCTTATCTTGCAAGGAAGGAACTCTCTGGCCTGGATGTCTCATGAAATATAAGATAACAGCAATTAGAATAAGAGAAACGCCACCCACAGCAGCAGCAATTACTGTAACAATTTTACTGCGTTGAGTACCCCCACTTGCCAGAGATGGAACAGATTGAGGAGATGAATTAACATTGCAACCACCAAGCGGTCTGCCACAGAGTCCTTTGTTACCGATGAAGCTGCTAATCTCCATGTTCTGAAACAATGGGATGGAAGGTAAAGGTCCAGTAAGGTCATTGTTTGAGAAGTTGCACCCTAGTAAGCTTGACAGACTCTCAAATGTGCTGGGAATTTCACCAGTTAAATGGTTGTTATTGAGCAAGAGGAATTCAAGCATATTAAGATGTCCAAGAGCTGGCGGTATTCTCCCACTGAAATTATTAAAGCTCAGATTCATTGCAATCTGCAAGCTTGAAATAGAACCCAATTCTGGTGGTATTTCACCAGAAAACAAGTTGGCACCCATCTGCAACTCAGTCAAATGGGAGAGGTTTCCTAATTCTGCTGGTATGTTTCCCGTGAAATTATTTTCTGAGAGCCTGAGAAGCTCTAGTTGCAGAAGTGTTCCCAGCTCATTTGGCAAAGTACCCATGAACCTATTTCGACTGAGATCAAGTCGTTGAAGCATCTTGCAGTTAACGATTTCTGGTGGAATCCGCCCGGTGAGCAAATTGGATGATGTGTTGAAAGTCACCAGTTGAGACAGATATCCTATTTCCTTTGGCAACTCAGACGTAAAGTAGTTGTCTGAAATATGAAGCCTTTGCAACTTTTGGCAGTTCCTAATCTCTGGAGGAATTGGACCAGTGAATTTGTTCTGATCCAACTCAATTGCAGAAAGGTTTGGCAAACTGCATAGTTGCGAAGGAAAGCTCCCAGTAAGCATGTTTCCAACAAGACGAAGTTGCACCAATGACTTGCAGTTCAAGACACCAGCTGGAATATTTCCAATCAGATCATTAGACTCCAGGTTCAACAAAATTAGATTGGAATATCGACAAATATATGGAGGTATTCTTCCTGTCAGTAAGTTATCGGATAAATCAACTACCCACAGTCGGCTGTGAAGTCCAAGCCCCCGTGGTATGCTACCGCTTAGAGAATTGTCGAACAGTTGTAACTGGTACATTTGAGTCAAATATTGAAACCCATCGGGGATAGGACCTTTGAGATTATTAATGGAAAGGTCAAGCTTTGTCAGGTTCCCCAAGCCACTCAGTTCATTTGGAATCACACCCGTAAGCTGGTTCTGGAACAGGTACAGTAAGGTTAGACCTTTTATCTTGCTTATCTCCGATGGGATCTCACCTGTCAAATAGTTCTCCGAGAAATCAATCTCAGATGCCAAAGAAAGATTTCCAAATTCCCTTGGAATGGTTCCATTCAAGCCATTCCTGTAAATGTACAATTTCCTCAATGACTTGAGGTTCCCAATTTCTGGCGGTAAAGGCCCCACAAGATTGTTCTGATACAGAGCAATAGTCTCAAGGCTAGAGCAATTTCCAAGCTCCTTGGGTATAAATCCTGATACCTGGTTACCCCACAGAACCACATCTGTCAAGCTCTGAAGCATCCCAAACTCCTTAGGCAATTCCCCTCCTATAGAATTTTGGGCCAGACCAAGCAATTGCAAGCTCTCACATCTACCTATTTCGGCCGGTAGGCTACCAGAAATATCATTCTGCCCAGCTCTAAACGTTACCAGATTCTTGAGATTCCCAAAGGAATGAGGTATTGAACCAGTAATATTGTTGGTGTATACCACGAACTCGGCCAGTGAAGACAAGTTCCCAATCTCATCTGGAATCGGACCACTGATTCTGTTATTACAGAGATTCAAAACTGTTAAATTTAACAGCTTACCCACTTCCAAAGGTATTTGGCCAGTGAACTTGTTATTGTTCAGATAAATTCTTTCCAAACTCCAACAGTTTCCTATCTCCTTAGGAATACCTCCCACGAAACCATTGTCTGAAAGATCAAGAGAAGTTAGGTGGACCAAACCACCAATGCTAGGACTGAGGACTCCTGAAAGATTCAGAGAACTCAAATCAAGACCCTTGACCACTGGATCATAACCGGAAGAGCAATTTACACCCATCCATCCGCAAGGTGTTTGATCAGAGGACTTCCAATTTCCCAAAAAATCAAATCCATCCTGCATACTTTTCTTCAGCTCTAAAAGGCAGAGCCCTTCATTATTCAACCCCTCTGAAATAGAAGCAAGCAGAGCTAAGGCAAGTAAAATTCTCGCAAACTGCAGTTCCAAAGCCCTCCTCACCTCAAATGCTTTCGACATTTTAGTAACACTGAAATGAGCACAATCACAACATAATCAGATAATTAAACACCTGCTCATCCAAGCTCATCAGATGTAAAGTAATACAAATAAACTAATCCTCAAAACCAAGTAAAATACAACCAGATTTCTAATAATAAAAGAATTTGATAATTCGGAACCTGGTTTAAACAGACCAGTTTGAGTGTTTCACAGCACAAAATCCAAGCATACCAAGTCATTAGGGAATCAAACCATCCATTTGAAAAAACAAACTTCGATATTTCGATAACTCAATAATAAAAATACATGACAGAAAGAGACTAAAAGTGAAGCAGACACCTAAATGCTAAAGGGGCAGGAATAACAGAGTCATTTGAAGCAACCCAATAACATAAAAAAATTAATTTAGCAAATTACTAACTCAAACTGAATGATCAAAATTAACCAGACAAGAGTAAAGATTAACAAATCAGTCATAAAAAAGGCACCAAAACTGAAAAGTAAATTAACCAAAATTAACCATATTAAAGCTGAGAACATACCTCTCAATGTCTAAGAACGCTCATAGAAAAAAGAAGTGGCAATGTAAGCAGCAAGTCCAGCAGCAGTGGGGGGGCAGTAACTTCCTCAAGTGACAAACTGAAAACCATGGGAATTATGAACCAGAAGAAAAAGGTGAGACAAACCCAGTTCGCCTTTTCCGACAAATGGTGGGGATCTCCGGTCTAGAGGCCAAGATTTGCGCAGAAATATCTCAAAGCCCACACCTTTATTGCGCCTTTTTGCAGCAAGAAACTCAGTAGATTCAAAGAAAGATCTTTCTTGGAATATTTTATTCCAGAAGAGAGAAAGGGGGGGAAAGGCAAGTGCTGGAGTTAAGTTGGAGCTTATGGGGGTACTGACTGTCGTGAATGGAATGATGGGTGTGAGAGGAGAAGGGACCAGAGCTCTTGGGTTGAAGCTTTAATGGCCGACAAAGCATGCTTTCATCATTTTTCACATATGTTCTATCTCTTTCGCTGTGTGTGCTATCTGTGCTGAGCTGCTGAGTCTCTCTTAACTCTCTCTCTCTCTCTCTCTCTCTAGATAGAGACGAAGAAGAAGATGGATGACTGTGGGGACTCGGTTTTCCTCTTTTTTAGTGCTTGGAAAGGGTGGAGGGGAACTGTGAACTTTTTGGGCAACCCAAAAAGTTTGAATTATTATTATTATTATTTTTTTTTTTTATGAAAAAGCTTTGGAATTTTATCGATTGAGTTGGTAGGTAAGTAATAAAACTCTATAACAAATAATATTCTTTTTGTATCGTATGATTCGTATTTATCTGTAATTCTGTATTAAGATACGATTTATCGAAGAATCTTTGTTAATTAACTCTTTTAAGTTTATGATTCTCACTTGAAACTTATGGAACATAGAAGATGCATTCGAAGACACTAAAGAGTATATAAAGATAAAAATAGGGAATTGTTATTAATACTTCAAAAATCTTATTATATACTTCTCTGTATTTTTCTTTCTAATTATAGAAAGTTTAGTGTATCAAAAGAGATTTTTGAAGTGATAATAACAATTCTCTACAAATATTGGTCACAGTTACTTCAAAAGAAGAGTTTAGTTACAATATTATGTGGTTGTAAGTGTATCGTGAGATTAATCGGGAAGATAAAGATTAGGAGTCTTTAAATTTGAGTCGTTCATTTTACATTGAATACAGTGTGACATTCTACGGGTATGAAATGAAAACTTAGCATCATAATTCGTGATAGGAAACTATGAATCTTGTTCCTTATGTACATAGAAGATACGACAAAGGGATGAACGAGTTGAGTCGTGTTACTTTCACTTAAGAAATTGGTGTTCGCATACTCATTTTCACCATATGCACGTTACCGTTTATTTCAGACATACAATTTGAATCAAACAAAGGGAGACTTTAGATGCGGTCCCTAGTTATGAACAATCTTTGACTGAAACCTTGTTGTTTTTCAATTTTTGATCCAAGTCCCTAAAATTAATTGATAATTTATTTCTATGTACGTTACTATATTTTTTAAATTAAAAATTAAAATTTATAGTTGTTTATAGTGTGAGATTTTAAATAAAAAACCATAATTTGTGGGATTAAAAATATTAAAATATAAATATACTATTGTGTGTGTGTGTGTGTGTAAACATGGGTACATTCATAAAAAAATAACCAAAAAATTATTGTATCAAAACATGGGTACATTCTTCAAAATGGGTACATTTAGCAAAAATAAAAATTGGTACAAATAAATAAAAAAATATGGGTACAATACAAATAAAACTTTAAAAAATATGGGCACAAAAAGAAATTAATATATGGGTACAAATTAAAATTGAAAGGAAAATTGGTACAAATTAAAAAAGGGTTGCAAATTAAAAATGGGTACAAACTAAAAATAAAAATATATGATAAAAAATTTAGCCATAAATATAAATATACTAATTGTAACATTTTTAATATTAAATGAATATATTTAGAAATAAAAAATATTTTATTATTGAAATAATTAATGATATTATTAATACAAATGACCTTGATCAAAAATTGAAAAGTAATAAGGTTTTAATCAATAGAGTAGTAAAAATAAGGATGAAAACCTAATTACTCCTAAAACAAATATAATCAAACAATAAAACAAATCAAGCGATGTATACATAAGCAGAACATGAATATTCGAAAATCATTTTCTCTTCTTTTTTATGCTTAATCAGCACCATAATCCAAAATATGCAATAGCAAATTACGAGTACGTCATAGTGATAGTCCACAAATCTCAGGGATACGGACTGTTATCTCGACAAAACGGTAGAGGAGATATGGACCATAGAAAATGAAACTAGAAATAGGTTGCCCAACCACTAGGGTAGGAGGTAGGCAATAGCTTTACGTCCATATCATGAGCTGCCAGAGTCCATAGTTGCGGGTTATATATGAGTCTGACGACTAATCATAGACATGTTGAAAGGTGAATTCGAGGTCCCGCACAAGGCAAAGGGGTAAGGTTCTTGCTATGCGCTGCCCATATTATCTCTCTGACTTAGACAATTGTTGTGGGTTGGCTCATCTCCACTCAACTACGAAACCCCATCTATTTCATTAGGACAAAATTGACTTATTTAAAACATTTTATTACAATAGCATTACAGTTTAATGATGTTATTTTTCAATTATACGTGTGAGGTCTTTAGATTAAATCATCGTTTATAATTGGTTCATTGATGTCCTCGCTCATATCTCTAATTTTCTCAGTGTATATATATATATATACACACACACATATGTGTATTTGTATTAAAAATATTATCTTCGTAAATTTGTAATCCTAACAAGTTTAATTTTTTTTTAACAAACCATATTATCTACATTAAGAGGATGAGAGAGTGGGATAAGCCTCACACTCGGTTAGTAATAATGGGATTCAAATTCGTCTTTGTCAAGAATCGAATCTAACACATATCGCTTACAAGTGAAGAGGAATACAAGTATTAGGTCTTAGGTTCGATTCTCATCAAAGACAAATTTGAATCACATTACTGTTAGCCTATTGTGAAGCTTATCTCACTCTTCCACTCCTTAGTGCAGTTAATATCTTTTGTTAAAAAAAATATTTTCAAATTAAACCTTTGACAATCTATTCACGTCAGCAAATTTCCAAATTTGAGCTAGGGCACCGTTTTCAATTTTTTGTCATGCCCATTCTACCCTCCCACGTTGCAACTCATTAATCATTTCATGTAATTAATGCTATTTAAGTTGATTATTTCACTTACCATTTATTTTGAAGAGTTTGACAAATTTCCTCTTTAGTTGCCATTTTTAGAATTCATTACTTGATTTCAAGTTTGTTTGGAAATGCTTTCAAAACCAATAAAAGTGTTTTTAAAAAAAAAGTTTACCTCACATAGAGTTAAAGGAATTCAAGTGATTTATGTTGTGCCTTGCTTGTTTCAATTCAAAAACAAACAAGTGTAGTCACTTAGTACTACGATCTAGTGGTATTTCTTTTTACTTATAAGTGAGATGTATTAGGTTAGATTATTGCCAAAGACGAATTTGAACGACATTATTGCTAACTTAAGGCTAAGTTTACCCCCTCTTCTTAATGTAGATAATATCATTTGGTTAAAAAAAAAAACATAATTTATAACTATGACGCTAATAATGGCAATTCTCGTAATTTCCATGGAAAAGCATTGGGCTATAATTTGCTTATTTGAATAATACTCTCTAGGGTAAATATGTGGTTTTTTTTCTTCCATATTTCATCCCAATGACTGAGTCTATAAAAGTTCCCTTGTTATTTTAGGTTTTTTTTTTTTCCAAATATTTTCAAAGGTCTATGTTCAAAATGTCACTTCACCAAGTAACATTCTGGATTTTGTATTACTTCATTCTTTTTCTCAAGTATTGTTTTATTTACATGCACTTGTTTAAACCATACTTGTAATATCCCACATCGATCAACGGAGAGAGAGTGATGTGCCTTATATGTACATGCTCACCTCCAATAGCATGAGACCATTTGGGAACTCACTGGCTTCAGATTCCATTGGAACTCCGAAATTAAGCGAGTTCGGGCGAGAGTAATCCTAGGATGGGTGAACCACTGGGAAGTTCTCATCTGAGTTCCCACAAACAAAATCGTGAGGGCATGGCCGGGGCCCAAAGCGGACAATATCGTGCTACGGCGGAGCCAGCACTGGGATGTGAGCAATCTTGTCTGAATATGTTTAAATTGCCCGATTGCTTGTATTTATTGCTTGTCCTCAAGTTATTTACTTTTCCTGCAAGTTATTGCTCTGTTGTTTAATACATTTAACCTGCCTTTATGTTTCATCGCTTTAAATACTTTATCTTTCAAGTCAATTTGTCTTGTTTACTGTCTTTACGAGAATTGTGAACCAATTCGAGCACAGTTCGATCAGTTTTTGGTTCTCCCTGGGTAGCAAAACAAAGAAATATAAAGTTCACCAAGACATAAAAATGAACCTAACATAGATTTAACTCTTGTATGGCACAATCCATTTGATAATGAAGTTGAATCACTTGTGGCACAAGCAAGCAATCTGAAACAAACCAATCAATTAATCAGTTTGTTGGTACGGCTAACAATGGCACGTCTAAAAATCACAAACTCGTTTAAGATAGCATGAAGGCCTATTCAAGGCCCCTCAAAGGCCCCCTAAAACTGACTCAAAATTAACTGCAAACGCGGAAAATTTATGATGCCAACATTAGTTAATAAGGATTTGTATACTCTAGGATGCTCGTATTAATGTTCTTTTTCGTTCAATGACAATCAACGTAATACATATGTTCAAAATATATCCACATGTTAGTCCTCACTTCAAATACCTACGTACACAAATTTTCAACGTGGGGCTAACTAACATTATAGCTTCAATTCTAATGATTATTTCTTTTGTAAACATTCAGTTTCTAGAAATAAAACACAAATAAATTCGTATAAACCAAGTCACTTTAAATATGAGTACGATCTATTGAGGAGAACCCTAGCATGTTGAAATGAACACATGAACCTCGATTTTTCATGGTACTGCACGTATTTTATGATCCATGCAAGAAATAATTTTAAATGAAATATAGATGTAAGAAATTAATAATTTGCCCAAACGTTCAGGTCCCAGAAACTTTTTTTATTTAGTCTTGCTCCTTTTTTATGAGTTTTTCTTTTCAAATGGCCACATGCCTTTAGCTACATTGCAATTTAATATGTCAGTGATGACTCCTATATATATCAATGATATCTTCCTTTTGTACCTTTTATATTGCAAATATTTTTCAATTCCCCAATTAAAAAACTTGCCCACCACTGAACATGCTGCGATCAACATGATTACGAAAAAAGAACCATTTAATTTGAACATAAGGTAACTGGATCGGGGTTTTTATTTGATTGGAAGCAGTGCTTTCGTTGGTGTCAGTGCCATCTCTAAATTTGATTAGCAAGAAAAGAAAACCTTTTTTTTTTTTATATTTTAATTAGTTGTTTAATTAGCATTGACCCTAAAGTTAGGAGGCTTGACTCCACCGTCTAAAACCCTTTAATCATTTTTGTAATTTCTTTGAATTTGTGTCGGCCAAATGGCATTGCCTGATG